TTAAAGAGAGACACTTTCATGACTGTTTCTTAACACACTTAAGTAGACTTTTAAAAATTGCATTTTGTAATAATGTCAAATTATTTGATTTATTTTAAAGTACATTTAAAATGATCATGTTTAATAATCGTTTGTCGTGCACACATTAATATAGTTGAAATATACTTATATAACTTAATCATTACCTATGTGTAATTAGTAATTACAAATATATTTAAATGCATGACTTGTATAAGTTTAAATAGAAGTGGCTTTAAAGTATGCAAATGTCATTAACAATTATAAATGCCCCTTATGAAAAAGAAGTGTGCTTAATTGTATCAAATGTGCATTTGTAGTCTACTGCAAATCTTTAAATTATTTTTGTTTTGTTTTTAAAGAGAGACACGTTCATGACTGTTTCTTAACACACTTAAGTAGACTTTGGAAAAAGTGCACTTTGATTTGATGTCAAATTAAAACTTTTACTCTAAAGTACACTTTAAATCATTATGTTTTAATAATCTTTTGTCATGTTTAACTTAACTTTGATGTGTTGACTAACATTTTAAAGCACATGTAAAGTACATATAATTTGCTGTGTAGTTTGTCTGTCTTTGTTTAAAAAACACATGTTGAGATTGTACTGTTGTACCGGTTGAATTTAAAGTTTCTGGCTTGATTATGTAACAAAACCTGTGACTCAGCATCTAACTTTGTGTCCACAGCTGCCTTCAAAGAGATCTGTCCTGCTGGACCAGGCTACCATTATTCCGCTTCGGCTGTCAAGTTTAACCAGAGGCTAGCCAAGATGCTTGACACCGGCGGGCCGCCCCTGGTCTCCGAAAATGACCACACATCCACCAAGGACACAGTATCCCAACCCGAAAGCTCCAGGACTCACTCTGTAATCTCACAGTCAACCCGAATCCAACAAGTGCCATATTCGCCGACCAACATGCAGACCATCCGAATCCAACAGAGTCCTACAAGACCACAGCAAGCTGACACGGGTTCACAGACCGGTTCGGTAATCATTATAACTCAACCAAAACCAAACATGTCAACAAGTGGAGGCTCTCAAACCACAAATGCCAGACCTCAGCAGCATCCCAGCGTCCGTCCTGGGAGCGCGGCCACCGCAACCAGCCAGCCGGCCAGAGTGAACACACGTGAGCCACCCGCGATTCTTATTAATGTATTTATTAAAACCCACTTGTGTAGATGTGTTTGATTCAGTCTAATTGTTTACAGCTGTTGTACGGACACAAACCAGCCGGCCCTCGGTTAACAGACAGCCGGTATCACCAGTCAGACCTCCTCCTGTACCGGCTACAACCCGACCACTTCCAACTAGACAAGGTAAGCCACCAGAGGGACTAGTGAAAAT